TTCTACAGCGGTGATATGATTCAGCTTCGTGAATAAGTATCATGTCTTACTATTGTAACAACAACTGTTCTACAGCGACATACTGACCTATTCCAATGACTATTATCGTATTGCTGAATTAGTTTGTTCAACTGCATATCGATTGACCAAATACAAAAGAAATACAAATCAGCTATCTAAAGTAGCGTTGTTATTCATTGTCGTCGAGTATTAGTCAAGAATATTACAAATAGGAGTAATAACTATAGGGTCAATTGAAAAGTCCCCGGCCTGACACATTTATGACGGCACCAGAACTAAATCCATATGGTTTTCAGTTAGTCCTAACCTTCAAAAGACGCGTCTATAAATTTGACGGCTGTCGGATCATTAGTTTGTGAATTATAGCATTTTTAGTGAAGCAACTTTTGTTATTGTGAAAAAAATGGATAAAAAGGAATTTCGCGTGTTGATAAAATATTGCTTTTTGAAGGGAAAAAATACAGTTGAAGCAAAAACTTGGCTTGATAACGAATTTCCGGACACTGCCCCAGGAAAATCAACCATCAAGGATTGGTATGCTAAGTTTAGACGTGGTGAAATGAGCACCGAAGACGGTGAACGCAGTGGACGCCCAAAAGAGGCTGTTACGGACGAAAACATTAAAAAAATCCACAAAATGATTTTGAATGACCGTAAATTGAAATTGAATGAAATAGCAGACACTGTACAGATATCAACGGAACGTATACATCACATCATTCACGAATATTTGGGTATGAGAAAGCTCTGTGCAAAGTGGGTGCCGCGCGAGCTCACTTTTGACCAAAAACAACGACGAGTTGATGATTCGGAGCAGTGTTTGAAGATGATCACGCGTAATAAACCCGAGTTTTTGCGTCGATATGTGACAATGGATGAAACATGGCTCCACCATTTCACTCCGAAGTCCAATCGACAGTCATCGGAGTGGACTGCACACGATGAACCCGTTCCAAAGCGTGCAAAAACGCAACAGTCGGCTGGCAAGGTTATGGCGTCTGTATTTTGGGATGCGCGTGGAATAATTTTCATTGACTACCTTGAAAAAGGAAGGACCATCAACAGCGACTATTACATAGCGTTATTGGACCGTTTGAAGGACGAAATCGCCGAGAAACGACCGCATTTGCAGAAAAAGAAAGTCCTGCTTCACCAAGACAATGCACCGTCTCACAAGTCAGTGAAAACGATGGCAAAAATTCATGAATTGGGCTTCGAATTGCTTCCGCATCCACCGTATTCTCCAGTTCTGGCCCCCAGCGACTACTTCCTCTTCTCAGATCTCAAAAGAATGCTCGTTGGGAAAAAATTTTCGTCGAATGAAGAGGTGATCGCCGAAACTGAGGCCTATTTTGAAGCAAAGGACAAATCGTACTACAGAAATGGTATCGAAAAGTTGGAGGATCGCTATAATCAGTGCATCACCCTTGAAGGGAATTATGTTGAATAAAAAAAACGAATTTTGCAAAAAAAAAATGTGTTTTACTATTTTAGGCCGGGGAGTTTTCAATTGACCTGTTACTTGCCTTACTGCATGTACAGCGTGAGCTGTAAGAATGTCACCAAATTGTGGTCGATTGTCCGGTGCGCAGTAAGGAACTGGGCATCCCATATGACACGTGGACAAGAAAATTTTACTTATCTTTTGGATTTGACAGCTGATAAAACTGAAATTGATAAGCAACGAGCAACGACATTTGTGTTTTCTATCCTTTATTAGTGATGATGCCCTTCAGACTCATTCTCTTTAGATTAAGTTATTACTCGCATATTCAATCTTCTTGAGAACACAAAGAAAAATAATTTTAAATAAAGTTAGGGAGTGTTACCCTAAAAGATTCGTAACATATGTATATCTGCGATTTAAATTTACTATAAAGTTTTAAAGATGGTCGTTCCCTCTTTCCATTTCATGCCCCGAGTAATTCGTCGTCTTTCGTAAGATGAGGGTGGGTTCGTTACAGTACCAGCGAAAATGGACTTTGCTCTCTCTTTAGAGACACCGCTCGTTATCTCCCTAATTTACTTCAGAGAAAACGTTGTCATCACTTTTAATTAAATTTGACACTTGCCGGAAATGCGGGGGACGCAGGGAGTGGATGGATGGGGGTAGGAAAGGAAAATGATATTAATTTAATTCCGAATGGAGAATGGCAACGCGACCAATATTCCCAACTAACGATGAGGTCCACAAAAAAATCGAGGAGCTAAAAGTGGCATTCAAACATTAGCCCCACTTGAACGTTATTAAAAGCCCTGCGAGGTGCTCGCAAACTTTTCAAGTCCGGGAGAGTTACGAGAGAGTAGTTACAAGGAATTGATCCAAACGATTGGAAGAAGGATCGGCTGACACGAAGTTATAGGGTTGTTCGGAAAGTCATTTCGTTTTTTCCCGACAGAGGATTTAATTGTTTTCTTTTGCACCCAACTTCACATTTAAGCCGTATAATTTTTATATGCTTTGAGAGCTCATATAGCAAGGCTTGTGTGTGAAAAATTCCAATTAATTCTACGCAGTAGNATTAATTAATTAGAAATAAAACGACTTTATTCTTGATTCGTCAAGGAAGTCCATTCTGCTTTTGACTCAACTCAACGTGAAATCCGCTCTTGTTCTAAATTAATTTTCCTTGTGACTAAACGATGTGATCGTCAGTGGAGTATTGTGGTACCTCTTTCTAGGTCAAATTGGCAACGAACTTAAATGCTGGTCCCCATTTCCTGGTGCTTTTGTCTTCCGCTCCTGCCAAGGCGAAACTGCCCGCAGGTCCGGCTCGTCTTCACGTTCACGGGCAAGATTTTAGTCTAAGTAGCGGTGTACCGCCACGACTGATTGGCACGTGGAAGTTGGCTTACCTCAGGCGATATGGTGTTGTAGATGGACGTTTTTGCTTTGAAGGGGGTTCCAGGTGTGGTATTGGAGAAGGTGTACATGTGCTTATTAGTGACCAGGCGGAAGAGATCGTTCAGGTGTTACAAATGGCATCGCAAGGACAGCTGGTCACTGGTTCGCGGCGGAAAACGCTCTCCAGGAACGTGACAGGTAATGAACCTAAACAAGCCTATAATGATGATAAAACTGAAATGTGTGTCAGACAAGACAGGTTGTTTGACGGAATGGTCTTGGGTGTTGTAGTTTCATGTAAATTTCTCTACCAAAACTATTGGTACCTAGAGCCATTTTATTTACCTTTAGACTTACCGAAATGTGTAAAATTATCCATTAGATGCAACGTGTTCCTCTCCAGTTCAACAGGCACTGATCCCAAATATTTTTCTAAAGGCTTAATGATCCATGATCAAATTATTTTTATTATAGTGCTAAATATATGATTATTATTATCCACAATTTTGGATTGTGACCATACGTATCTAATAGATAAAGAGTTCGTTGCTGCTGTCCATAAATAATTGGCACTACCTGACCTGATATCTTCGATATCCTGACCGTTAAACTTCAAAGTAATCTTCTATCTATGTCTAAAAATCATACATAAATTAATTTTAAAATAAACAGAGGTAATTACAGTTTGCGTTTTTATTTCATTTGGAAATACTTCTAAATCCAAATTATACGAAAACTGTCTTTCATTTCCACAAAAAAAAACGAAATGACTTTCCGAACAACCCTATAACTGAACAAAGGAGTGTAAGATCTGTATGCTGCTTCGCTGGAAAGATTTAGAATAGATAATGCAACCACTTAGAACAAACGAATTATTAGTTTACGTATTTATTTACATATTTTATACGTCATTTTCATATTCTTTCATGTTCTTCTCTTCATTATCCTTTAAATAAAAGCGTAGCAGTTGATAACGTTCGTGGGCACATTTCTCATTAAGCATTATCAAAACACGTGTGCTTTTCTACCTTCCTTTAAGATTTTTAGTTAATTTCAAATCAACTGTGGGTAAATGTACTCCACATTCATATTATTCAACAAACAGTTTGATGTATCTAATATTTGTTTGGAGTTCATAATTAAGGTCGTAAATTTTAATGATGAAACGGTCTTAAAGTTTGGAGAAGATTTAATATATTTTCTCCCGTAAAATATGAATCGACTTGTCCCATTCTGAAATACTCAGCATGCTTTAAGTAAAGTTTTATTACTGGTAGTTTTGAAAACATTCGGTTCCATTAGCCTTTGCGTCTCCAAAAAGAGGCGGCATTGACTGAACTAGGGTTGGATTGAAATAAAATGGAAGAGGTTTATTTTCGCAGATTATTGGAGCGGACAAATCTGGGAAGTATTTTCTTTTGGTTAGTGTTCTGTTTAATGGATTGTATTCGGCGGCTTTTCTTCGTTGCGTTGTGTTGTGTGCAAACCGTAACCTACACCGAAAAACAAAAGGAAAATGAAGTTGAATTCACATAGTCTCCTATATGCGTAAATGTTAATTACAAGTTTAATCAATTTCACATTTAATCTAGTTGGACCACCCCGATTGTGGTAATTTACTCGTAATAGAAATTTTTATTTCTGTCGTATGTTAAACAATCTTTCCAAAAAAAGATGGAAGTTGTCAGATGAGAAATAATTAAATTTTTGAAACGTCCCAAACAAAATGATTTTTTAATTGGTTTTAACTGCGTAATTTCATAAAAATGTGAAGTTCAAGTAACTTTGTCAGTAATTTTATTAGGCAGAAGTTTAAGGAGGGTAAAAGAGTTAATTAAAGGTTTGATTTCTGTTTTATCGATCAACGTTGAATGGAAGGGAGTGTAAGTGGCAATACTCTATAAATTACGTTGTCGAAAAACCCCTACGTTCATAAATCTCCACTCGAATTATCGTTCTGCTTTCCTTCATTTATCACTTCTTAATACGTAAGTTTATAATAATACAAAATAGTGAAACAAACTGTTTTTATACATATCTACTACACGTTCATAGATTTTAAAATTCTCTTTTATCTTTTGTGCATTGTTCGAGGGTCTTAGGGTAGATCATGAAACGTTCTTTTTTGTTCCAGATTGTCTTCATCTCCAGCTCTATCGGGATTCAAAGGAACGCTACAAACAAGGCCAAACTAAAGCCTCTTTGTCCTTGGAGCAATTTGTAGCATTAGAGACGGGGTTCACGTTAGACAAAGAATCCAATACTGTCGCATTACTGTGCAAAGACGTTGTGGTGGTGTTGGCTTTTGATACTAGAGAACGACTCATGCAATGGCAGGTATGTTGAATACAAATCAGCTTTCGGCATTCATCAGACAGTAATGATAACGATATTAATTAATTAGAAATAAAACGACTTTATTCTTGATTCGTCAAGGAAGTCCATTCTGCTTTTGACTCAACTCAACGTGAAATCCGCTCTTGTTCTAAATTAATTTTCCTTGTGACTAAACGATGTGATCGTCAGTGGAGTATTGTGGTACCTCTTTCTAGGTCAAATTGGCAACGAACTTAAATGCTGGTCCCCATTTCCTGGTGCTTTTGTCTTCCGCTCCTGCCAAGGCGAAACTGCCCGCAGGTCCGGCTCGTCTTCACGTTCACGGGCAAGATTTTAGTCTAAGTAGCGGTGTACCGCCACGACTGATTGGCACGTGGAAGTTGGCTTACCTCAGGCGATATGGTGTTGTAGATGGACGTTTTTGCTTTGAAGGGGGTTCCAGGTGTGGTATTGGAGAAGGTGTACATGTGCTTATTAGTGACCAGGCGGAAGAGATCGTTCAGGTGTTACAAATGGCATCGCAAGGACAGCTGGTCACTGGTTCGCGGCGGAAAACGCTCTCCAGGAACGTGACAGGTAATGAACCTAAACAAGCCTATAATGATGATAAAACTGAAATGTGTGTCAGACAAGACAGGTTGTTTGACGGAATGGTCTTGGGTGTTGTAGTTTCATGTAAATTTCTCTACCAAAACTATTGGTACCTAGAGCCATTTTATTTACCTTTAGACTTACCGAAATGTGTAAAATTATCCATTAGATGCAACGTGTTCCTCTCCAGTTCAACAGGCACTGATCCCAAATATTTTTCTAAAGGCTTAATGATCCATGATCAAATTATTTTTATTATAGTGCTAAATATATGATTATTATTATCCACAATTTTGGATTGTGACCATACGTATCTAATAGATAAAGAGTTCGTTGCTGCTGTCCATAAATAATTGGCACTACCTGACCTGATATCTTCGATATCCTGACCGTTAAACTTCAAAGTAATCTTCTATCTATGTCTAAAAATCATACATAAATTAATTTTAAAATAAACAGAGGTAATTACAGTTTGCGTTTTTATTTCATTTGGAAATACTTCTAAATCCAAATACATTTAGATTACTGAGATGACACACTTACCGGTATCATTTCTAATGGTTGGACCCAAAATGGCAGATGATGGTAATGCCTAAATCTTTAAGGCTCTTCTATTTCTTTGCATCAACATTATCAAACAAGGAAACCAATAAAGAACTGACGATGAGGGTTCGGACCAAGATATGAAATTAATCATCTACATTTTCTTAGTTTCTTAGAAGGAAGTTTGGATCTCTTGAACTCCCTCGAGTACCTGCCTGTGTAAAGGTCTATTTAAATCCATTTCGTAGCCACTGCCAGTTAATGACCTACCGAAAGTCTCAATATCTCAAGACGTCTTTCGAAGTAAAACAATTTTCGAAATTGTGTTCGTCCCCTTCCCTATCTCTTTCTCTAAATGAAAATCATGCATCCAAATTAATCGTAAAACCAATTGGTTTACTCCAGTAATCGAATAATTACGTTTCCATAGTTTTCATATCAGTGACAGTGTTAATATTGGTGTGTTTATTAGTAAAGCAAAAGTGTAAACAGTTTCGAGGTCTGTATCTGTATTCTACCTTTACTAGTGCAGCATATCATCCATCGATATGAGTAAATATTATCTCTTGGGTTAAATACATTTGAAATTGGAAATTAAGCTTCTCATTGCCCTTATCATTGCCTTTAGGCAGTTTCCGGTATTGTATTAATCCAATGAATATCCGCTGTTAATAAAGAATCAGGTAGTTCTTTGGTGTTCTTGTCTTTAAATAAATTGAGTGAAACAACTTTAAACATTTTCATACTCTGAAAGATTATTATCGCTTTCTGATAAATTTTCTATTAAGTACTTATATGCGATTGGTATTTTGCATTATTAAATTACAGTGCATTAAATTTTATGTAATTTCATTTATCCTTGAACAAACCATTACGGATTTAGTATGTATTTCCACATATATGACTTTATTTTTCCTTGGCCTCTCCTTTTAGTGGGTGTGTAATACACAACCTTTTACTTTTCTTCTCAATTATAATGTGTAATTAAGCTTTCATACGGCACTTTTTCTTGTCATAATGTGACCTTTTCTTTCAATCCCAATAATTCTTAAAGAATTCAGTATCAATATGTCACTTAGAAACAAAAAACTGTTTTTTTAATCCATTAAAATTTATGATACCATATTCAATCTTTCAACGTTAAGGCAAGAATCGTTAATGCTTCCTTTTTTGCGCAAAAAAGAAATCGTTATTTCAATTCCTTCGGTAAAAATAAAATTTTCAATTTATATTCGTTCCGTTAGCTTTCCAAAGACACATTTAATTAAAAGAAAAAAAGTGTAGGGAAACTTTCCGACTTGTAAAGCAGAACTCCCTCTTCCCTTATTTACAGTCGGCGAAATGAAACAGACATGGAGATTATTCAAAAGTGGGATTTTACATTTCGAGACAGGAAAACAGGGGAATTCATTAGCTTTATTTGTTTCAAGAAACAACGGCAAAGTAGTTGCTAAGAAGTTAATAATTACCATGTCAAACCAGCTAGAATAACTTTTAACTAAATATAGCTTTCCTTCTTCAAGTTTCTTCTACTATTGCCAGATATAGTATAGTCGAAATAAGAAGGCAAAGTTCCCAATAAATAATGCACACTAAAGACATATCGTTTTTCTCGTTCTTACAAACGGAAAATATACTGTGTATGCTCTCTAAACACTCCTCCTCCACAGCTGCGTCGAGACCTGCACCTACGTTTCATAAGAATCAATCGAATAAAATGAGACGATCGACAACATGCTTGTCTTTTCATTTGTACCTACATAAAATGGGCAAATTTACAGGGTCGGCCTAATTTAGTTAGTGTATTTGTGCGAATAGTAATCTCTCTACATATATCGTTTAAGTTATTTTTTCGTTGTAACTATTGTTGTCGTTGGCTTTGTTGGTGTTATTGTTGTTGTTATGGTTGTTTTTATTGTTATTTTTGTTGTTAACTTTCGATAAAATGGTCCGAGAAGTCTTAAATTCTCAGAGTAGAAAACTTGTTTGGAATGTTATTAATTATTTTCAAAGAAAGAAAGAAGCAAGTAGAGAAACCATCTTTAATTCGAGATAATTGTNGGTGCAGGCCTCGGCGCAGCTGTGGAGGAGGCGTGTTTAGATGGTAAAGACAGGATATCTTCCGTTTGTAAGAACGAGAAAAACGATATGCCTTTAGTGTGCAATATTTATTGGGGACTTTGCCTTCTTATTTCGACTATACTATACTTCAATATTAACGAGTACCTAACTAGTCCTGTTACACTCTTCCCCTCTCTATTCGTTATTTGTGTTCATAGCCACTCATCTTATAGTGACTGGAAGTCCACGCGCAACCCCTTCTCGCACGGATTCTCGAAGGGTTTTGGAGTTATCCGACCATCACCATTTGCGTTCAGACTCTCCATTTACCGATTTAGAAAGCAGTTATGGTTGCACGGGTGGAACTGGAGGTGAGATGGGTCTCTCGATGGGCGCTTGGGCTGATTCGGCCTCTTCAATGGGCATAGACCGGTGTCTCAGTTGTATGAGCAAATTGGGTGCCATGTCCAGGTCATCCACAGCAGCTGCAATGGGACACTGTGGAGGTGGTTGGGGCATAGAGCATACTTGCGATCGAAGGAGTTTAAGTAGTGGATCGGACTATAGCACTTGGAGCCAGATTCCTACCGGAAAGGGAATAATGGGACCTGGTGGAACTTCGTCTCCGAAAAGAGTTCATTCTTCTAGTCCAAGTCCGCTACCACCCACGGAAAATTATGATGTTCCTAAAATAGCGTTACCAACGGTATGTTACGTGAATTTTTTTTCCATTCAGATTAAAATTTTTTTATGCTATTCGATAAAAATATTGAAAAAGATGAAATGGAGTATGAATGGCAGCTTCAGCAATACTCTTGTGAAATTTCAATTTGCACATTAAGTACGTAATAGCTTAGGTTGCGAGTAAAGGAAGATTATTCAGTATATGTTGGAGTTTGTAGAGTTTCTGTTCTAAACATTTCCATTGAACGTAAACTTTGTTTGGCTTACGATTAGTACGATGATTAAACCGTTTCGTTCGCTAAGTAATTTAGGATTAAGTAAACTGCAAGGACAGTATAGATTAAGATGGAGTTTCTTATCAAAACGAGACGAGATTAAAACCCATCGAAGCAAAATATTATATCGACAAGTTGCCCCTTCAATGCATAATTTATTACCGGATCCAAAGGATTTTTATAGCAAGGCGAAGTCGGTTTTCCGCAACTCATTTGAATTTTTTTGCCGCTTCATTCCCGAGTCCCCTTCCAAGGGAATTTGGGATGTAGTAAATGGGAGTAATCGGATTTTAAAGCATTATCATATTTTAAATAGAGTAATGTATTTTAAAAAGAGTTTTTTCGTTTTTATATGGCTTTTTTAACTAACACCGCAACTTTTTCATCTTTTCGTATTTAATGCTCTATCACGTTACCCATCAGCAAATTGGTCATTGTGTTAGGAATAGCGAATGTACTGGCACAACAAGTTTTTCAATTATTCATAACTCTAAATATATTATTCTAGTTGTTACTTTTAGACTATTTAAGGTAAATGCGTCAATTATTCTAGGAGCTCAAACCAGAAACTGCCTACTATGATACACCTCGAAAAATAAAAGAATGTTTGGCCTCGGACACGATTCGGAAACCGTGTGGTTGTGTTCTTCGGCTCCGCCCTTCAGACGTCTGTCCATGTCATAGGTTATCAATGCCGTCCCAAGAACAAATAGGTTCGAAGGAGCCTTCCAATACACCCCAGTTGCCACCAAAAGGGTGCCACGATTACGCTAATATTGAACCTGCAGCGGCTAATTATACGAACCTCACTTTCTGCCGTTCCTTAGAGTTATATGAAAATGCCGCAACCATAGCTAAAATAGTCTCAGAGTCAACGCCCCAAATGCAGTGCACAGAGTGCAGCCACAATCAGGAAGACTATTTGGAGATGACACCTCTGAAAGGGATTCCTGGGTATTTGCCAATGTCTATGCCATCTGCGTTCAATAAAGGGAATTTAGACAAAGGAATTTCAAATAGTAATCCAAATCTAAATGGACAGCCGATCGCGAAACCTCCGCCATTACCACTGAGGCAAGCGCAACGAAACAGCTCAACTGAACATGGAGGCGGTTGTAGATCTCCTCCGCCACCTCCCATTTGTTCTATCAAAGTAAGTACCATGAATTCGTTGCGTCATTTCTTTACCAACAAGTTCGTTTTCGTCTTCTAGCTTCCTCCTTGTAATTGCTCAGTAGTGCGTCGATCTTCATCTGTTCCTTGTAAAGCAACAATCACCAATCGTGATTCGTCGAGTTCAGCAGACAGTGGTGTTTGGGAGGCTTCCGCCCCAAGACGTTCTAGGTCTTACGATCCCCTTCGGGAGTTAAATTTTCGCTTCCAAAAATCGGAAGAGAAAAGTACCAGCGCTGAAGCTGCCGTTCCTGTTTGCACCATCGTTCCTGGTTCTTCCAATGGAAGTGCCGCCTCTGATCTTTCCGACTATTTAGAAACATTGTCCACGTCATCGCACAGTTCTGCTGGTGGAATTAACGGAGAACAGACCACGACTTCGAATCCTCCGAGTTGTATGCTGAGACCAAGATCAGGTGGCGAGTATTTGAGCTTACAGAGGCTTATAGGGCCGGTTCCGGAAGAAAGACATGACTAGTCCAAAGTTGTTTGCCAAAATCTAACCTTACTATTATTCATAAGTTTATCGAGATAATGTAACCTTGTAAATTGTGTTCGTTTGTAAATAGTTGATACCGACGGTACTACTATTAATAACAAAATATTTCAATTGTACACCAAATGAATTGGTTCGTGTAATTTTTTTCGTCAAATAAATTATTTCTGATTATTAATTATTTAGTGATGCAAATAAAATGAATTGTATCTGGTATGGTTGGCCTTTCATTTATTTTTGCAGTTGCGCGAGTACCATTCAATGGCAATAAAGGTAAGTGAAAATAAATTTGAAATTAATAGCAATTAATAAAATAAAATTTTATTGTGGGCAGACGTACATACAAATAAGTAGATACAGTATGTTAACAAGGATCTTAACTTATTTTGTATTTGTAAAAAAATAACAAATATTTAAAAGTACTCAGTAGGTAATGCAGTGAATGTTATTTCTAGAATCCTTAAATTGAAAAATACATTTTCAGTCGTGTTAATGTTGGTTCATAAATTTTACAAGTTGTACTTCGGTCTTGTGAATCTCTTTTTCGTCCTACCGCGTGATTTAGAAATAAAACTCACTCATATTACTGCAATTCATAAAATTATCAAGGGCTCAACAAGAGTTATTAATTATTAAAAGAACTTTTCAATAAGTACGTATCAGTTAAGCACCTTAAGAAATTATTAAATCTATTATTTACAACACATCAAAAATTTTATTAAAGCTTTTGACTAATAAGCCATATTGATACAATAATAGTTTTTATTGTCTACTTAGTTTCTTTGTTCTAACATCCTTCTTGTCTTTCTTACGTCTTTGTACCTTTGCTAAATTGTAGGGAGTGAGGCATCTTTTAAAAAAAATCACTAAGAATTATCCTGTGCAACTTTTATTTTATTAACAAAAAATATAAGGGCTAGTAGCACTCCACGGGACGTTATCGTTTATATAATAACAAGATTTGTTGCTAAATTCTAAAATAATCGAAAAACATTAAGAAAGGAATGTTAGTTCTTCTTGCTTTGTACATCACCGAGTTTTTACGTCAAGTATTCTTTTTTTAATCTTCCGTTTTCAACTCCATAAAAAATAAATAACGTACGTTATAAAGCAAAATAGTTCATTTTCTAAGATATATTAAATTTAAGTACGAAATACTTAATGGCTGATTTGACCCTAAGACAATTTAAACAAGACTAGACGATCCTAAACAATCGTTTTCATTCTGGCCGCTAAGACATGGCGAGTTCCCTTTTGAACTTCCATAAACTTTTGTTGAATAACCGGAGTCGTTGTTAGTGTCCCTGTCAATGACATCCTGTGGGTTTTCCAACATCCTTGTTGTACTTTCGAATATTTTCGACGAATCTATGAAACTAGGAGAACTGTCACCTTTACCTTTCTCATACAATTTCGAACTGTCTAATAACCTCAATCGAGCAAATTTTGCTTGAAGGTCGTTATACTTAGGATTGGAGTCGGCATAATAAACGTTCTGTTCAAAAAACTGAGGAGAATTGTAACCACCACGCGTTCTACTATAAGTTGTTGCTACACTCGCCTCATTCCCATAATAAGTTCCAGCACATACTTCATTTGAACTACCATAATGGATGTTGGAATTACCATACCTTGTTACATTGGAACAACTGGGCTCTTGCGGTTCGTAGGGACTTCCATACCTGGAGCTACCCTGACCTCCACTCAAATTTGGAACGCTTTGGATGCATGCTGATGCCGGCTGGTCACGTAAATGCGCCATGACGTCTTTATTTTGAAATGTTCCCATGTTTGGTAAAATGGCACTAGACACATACGTACGAGTTTTGTTTGAGTTTTGGGCACTCGGTTGAACTACTGTAACTGATGGTTCCACGTATTGGGCAGTTGGACTGTACATTCCCACACGACTCCGTGGAGGTCCATTCGGGACGTTTTCATAATTAGGATTTAACGATACCAAATTTGAGTCTCCCATCGGTCCTCTACATGTATTTAAACGCAAGGGAGAGTCTTCGTCATCTGAACTCTCACTATTATCTCCATCTTGATTATCCTTTGACTCGGAATGGTGCTGTTGAATTCGCGCGACAAGTTCTTTTACTGAAGGCCGGTTGTCCGGATTGTTCTCTTGATTTGGTGAATCCAATTCGTCCATACTCCTAAAAATTGTAATGATTAAGCAAGCAAAATCGCAACGAGAAAGTAATTTAAGAAATGTATGTATTATCTACAGCTTTAAATAAATATGTTTCAAAGGACCAAAATAGAATCTCTTAAACTTGGCTCCAAACCGAAGTCTACTTGATGGCTATGAAATATGAGGCAATAAAAAACTTTTTCGAAGTTAGTACGCGTTTCGATAACTCTCCACTTTGTACATGCCAGATAATTTGATACTAATATTTAAAATGTACATAAAATATAGTTTTGTAGACGGGAAATACTAAAGATTGTTTTATGGATTTTTAAATTGAACTTCATCATCGTGGTGCCGTCAGTCCGAAGGTTGTAATGGATAAGCTATGAGAGTTTGGCCTCAAAATCGAATGTATTTTCTTGTGAAGGTTCATTTTCGTCAAGGAGGCTGACAATAGCTGATGGTCGTAAAGTTAGAGTAGACGTGGAGAGGGTAAAGTTGAACGTAAAAGACAAAAACTAATCTTCATAAGAAAAAAAAAGGAGGTTTGGACGTCAAACTGTCATAGATTATTTACTGAGCTAGTCTTCAAATCTTTCAAAATTTCAACTAAAATATTCCACTTCCTTAACTATTTCCGAACAGTAATCTAGTCGAGGTCTGTCCCTATTCCTCTTTTTTGTACTTCTAGTAAGTCTCTAACCAACCCTTCATATCCCAGAAGGCGTCCTACAGTCCTATTCCTCATTTATCTTATAGATTTTCAAAGGTTTCCTCATTCTTTCTAATACCTCCTCATTTCTAAGTTTTTTTTTTCATTTCTTAAATCGTTACAGGTACGTTTTTTAAAGCAATATAGAAGGTTAATCTTTATCAACCGTTCAGATCAAGTTCCCATTCGTAATGCCATTCAATTGTAACAGATCTTGAGATAAGAAGTGTTTCCACTTCCATCAAAGAAGACGTAACAGAAAATGCCGTTATTTCAATATTTACACAGTTCTGCAATTGAAAGAGCGAGTCGTTTACAGACGATTTAGAACTGCAAACAACAATGCAAGCCATTGAGATGTGACGGCCATTTCCAACAGGTGTTCATCGATTATTATCAGAGAAAGCGAAAAAGAAAATTTAATATTCCGTTGAAGGACAAGTTGACGAAGCTATTAATTTATGAGAATCACGAATGATGCAGGACAAAGGAAACGTTGAAAATCGTCGTCGCAGTTGTACAAATTGTTCCAGTCAACAACTATACAAATATTTAATGAATTGTAATGAAAAGTGACGAAAATTTAAAGACATTCAGTATTATTTTAAACTATGAACAATAGGGTTCCCCCATTTTGATTCGCATTGTTTATTATCTCAAAATAAAAGCGTTGAGAACTTCGACATTTGGCATTTTAGCAACTCTTTCTACTTGGAGAATATTCTGCTTACTACTCCAAGTACACTTAAAATCATGAAATCCTGTCTGGATTGGTCTTCGTTTGAATGAAACTTCATGTATCAAAAATGATTGGATAATAAGTTGATAAAATCGTAGTGCTTTTCAATAAGAATAGAGTGATGATGATAAGGTAGATCTAACTGGATGACTGCAACGGAAATATATGAGGAGAATCGATGACAGTTACCATGCGATTTAAAGATCTGGAGTTATAATTTATTTTTATGATATTATGTTTTAATAACATTACAGTACTGCTACTAACGCGATAGGTTAATGGTTATAATCTTAATGAATTAAAAGAGTTTTTTACAGCGTTTATAACTATTAAGTTCCTCATAGTCCCTAGTTTAACATCAATAGCTTAACCAAAAATAAAGACTTAACTAATGTTGGACATATGAGATGAACTTTTATGCAAAGAATCCCTGAACGTAAGAGGGGCTTTAAACATTATTTGTGTTTTTCTTCCACCTGAAGAAGCTATTGCATAGTGAAGCTTTTGTAGTGACTGTTAGTATACAAAAGTATTTCGAAGCTTTTTTGTCGTTAAGAATTTCGACATTTGTCATTTTTGCATCTCTATCTATTTGGAGGATATTCTGTTTACTGTTCTAAGAACACTCAGAATCATGCAATTCTGTATGGATTGGTCCTTATTTGAATGAAACTTCATGTGTCAAAGAAGAATGGGTAATAAGTTGGTAAAATCGTAGTGTTTTTTAATAGGAATAGAATGATGATGGCAATGTAGATCTAACTGGACGACTTTGCTAAAGGTTAATGATTATAATCATAATTAATTAAAAGTGTTTCTTACAACGTTTATAACTCAGTTCCTCGCAACCCCTAGGACACTTATTTACTATCAATAGATTCAGTAATTTTGCTTTTATGTCATTTTTCTTTAATGTTTACATCTTTTGCTGGTTCTTTTTGTTATTTCACACGACTATATATGTATACATACATATCTTCAGGAAGTCAGTTCATATCACTTAAATCTCTTTTATCCAACTCTTTATTTAAAGTGTAAAGAGAGGTTCTGGTCTTTTTGATGTCGCGGTGGATACATATCGAGGAAAAAGAGAAGGGTAACGAGACGTTGAAGTTTCCGAGATTGATAAAAGTGGTGTTTACTTAGGAACAGGACTCGAAAGGAAGAGGGAGAGAGAAAGAGTATGCGACAGCTAAAAAATTAGAACGACGTTTGAGGTGTGCGAGCTTTATGTAAATCCACCGGAACGGAGCAGTTCCCCAACTCCCTGACGGAAGATAAATATGGCAAATTTATCTGCAAATAAACTAAGACGTGTGTAATTGCCCGAACACGACCTCGGTGATAAAACAACTACCTCATCCGTCAAAAGGTTAACGAGAAAAGAAAAATATACTTACTTTTACAATACAATTACCACTAGACGAATAGCTGGACTTTTCTCAAATGAGAAAGGAAGCAGATAAAGAAAACAGATTAGACTAGTTCATATTACATATGAAGTTAATCTTTATCTCTTTTTGATCAAAGCAATACTGGAGTTTAAATTTATTTTATTTATAAAACCACAGCTAATGGTTTTACAGAAATGTAATACTGATGAAATTTGTTTAAAGGACATGTTAAAAGATCAACAGCCATTAACCTGTGGTTTGTTAAGTAAAATAAGTAACATAACACATAACATCATCATCATCATAGGGTCGTCAGTCCTAAGACTGGTTGAACACGTATCTCCACTCTTTGCTATTCTGAGCTAATCTTCGCATTTCCCTAAAACTAGAACAACTGACATCCTTAACTATTTGTGAACAGTAATCTAACCTAGGTCTACCTCTACCCCTCCCAACTCCTGTTTCTGCCTCTAATATGTCTCTCTTCATGCCTGAGTAGGTGTCTTACCAACCTATCTCGTCTATTTTTTATTAACTTCCATAGAGTCCTATGTTCTCCTATTCTTTCCAATACCTCTTCATTTCTAACCTTTTCTACCCACATTATCCTCATCATTCGTCTATAACAGGGATGACGAACCAATGGCACGCGACACAATATTTTGGGCACGTTACTAATGGTTCTGTGAATGATTCTTTAATCAAGGAATTTTCAGCAAGATTTTCTCACTTCAGAGAATTATCGGAAATACTAATACGAAAATTTATTATGTACCCTGATGTGATATTTGATAAAATAAATTGAAGAATCTGAAATGCAGCTGATTGATTTCCACTCTAGTTCAATATGATTCAGAAAGTAGTTAGACCAAGGAAAGAGTTAGAAATAATAGAAACAGAAAGACTGCCAGGGTAATACAAGTGAAAATGCTAATAACAAAATTTTGGAAACATGGAATGCAATAACAAACACATTTAATTTTTTGAAAAAGCTGGCATATGATATTTTAATAAATGTTTTCATCAACCTATGGCTGCGAGTTATCATTTTCAGAGATTAATAACATCAAAAACTCGCAGTTACAAACCGTTTGGTAGATGACTCCAGTTCAGCATGCAGCAATGACACGACGGTACTTAAAGGTTCGCCATCCCTGGTCTATAACACCACATTTCGAAGCCTTCTAACCTTTTATTTTCCGCCGCGCCCACTGTCCACCCGTATAACACTGCGCTCCAGACATACACCTTTAATAACCTTTTTCGAATTTCTAAATTAACCGTTTCGAGAGAATAGAAGTGACTTCTTTTGATTAAAAGCGACACGACCCTGCGCTATCCGCTGCTATATATCTCTACTACTCCTTCCGTCCTGACTTATCTGACTTCCTAGATATCTAAAATCAGCCACTTCTTCTATATGTTCTATATTCTATGTATATATCTACTGAATGTTATTTTTTTGTGAAAACAATTTAATTTGTGTAGTCCGTTTACTTTTGCCTTTACATTTCATCCAACTGTAGTCTTTTAGCTGACGCAATTTCTCTATCTTTATATTCGCTCTTTCCGTACTTTTTCTTTCCTTGCATACCAGTATTTTAGTTTTACCGATCTGTCAGTACCGCTTCCATTTTATTTAAAGCTATCTCTAGGTCCTCCTTGCTAGATTCTAATACTGCCATAGATCAAAAACCATTGAATATAAAATAGGGGAAGAAGATTAAATAGAATTAATCTTCCTCACACTTCCGTGTAACTAATTCCACGTTAAATGTCGTGATGAGGCGATCAAAATCAAAATTTTGATATTTAGACACATTGCACTACAAAATTAAAATGCCTGAGCAGATAGTCCGGGACTAAAATCCAATATGTTCAATTTCGTTCTATTTTACCCCCTCTACGTCCTTTTGCCGTCATAGTTATCAGCTGTTGTTAGCCATCTTTGGCAACTGTCATCGTTAGTGATCTTTTAGGGTTTCACCAACAGCTGGGTAATGGGGCCTGTCTAGGTGCTAACAGTTAAACTAATGACATTTAACAGTTAACCTAATGATGACGAAGGCGAGGAAGGGGTAAAATTGAAAGAAACTGAAACTTATTAAGAAAATACGCAGGATTTTGGTCCCTGTTGCCTGTAACGAAGTGAGTTGGCAATAAAAAGCATACATATAAATAGACTGATGAATTGTCGAGGGTTTTGATGACTAACTTGATTAGCTGTTCGTCGCAATAAAGCGTTTGCTTCTAAAACATCCCGAAGCAATGCCATCTGAATTGGAATCACGTATGGCGGGTTCGGAATTGGTAGACCTATATTCGCAATTACCGTCATCGTTCATTTCGCAAACGAAATTCGTTCGGAACTCATCAGTTTCATACAGACGTCACGGAAAATATAAATTATTGTATTTCATGTTTGAAAATACCCCAAGTTTCGTATTTTTCGGTCGGTTAGTGCATAATTTCGTAAAGGTATTTTGAAAACAATTTGGAATGTTTAACTTGTTTCTAGTTTTAGCAGATTTACAAATTTTATTAATGACATTCCCGAAAACACATTTTTCATTGTCAGCTTGTCATTTTGCTTCATATTTTTAATAATTCGAAAACATCCGTCGACGTAGGTGGCAGTTAATATTTTTAGACGAGTGTCTATTGTTTCTTTGTTTAAGTAATTTCTGAGTCCAATTAATGTTACTTGTACTGGTACAAGTTTTCAGAATTAACTGTCGCAAACTTCAACATACGTCATTACTCTTTTCCGTCATTTTCTGTGTATTACCTACCGTTAAAAATAAGCAGAACAACAAATTTTGTTGAAAGAATATTGATTGTGCGGGACGAATTTTGTAGAGACAAAACCCACCACCTACAGGTTCTGAACAAAATTATATAAGTGGTCATCGGAATTTGCCAAAATTACTAAATCATAATTTTCGAATATAACAAGCATAACAATGTGGGTCAGTAAGTAAACCAGATGGGTTTATCTACTGCTACTTATGGCTATACCCGAAAGCCAATAGCAATAGCTCGGCTGAGGGTTTTTAGTCGGTAGGTCTGAGGACACCTTCCTCGGGAATCCGACACTACCCAATCCTACGAACGACTGGACGTCTTTGGAGATTCCCTGTTTCCTTGGAGGCAAAAAAGAGATTCTGAGAAAGTTATATTCCCACCAGCCAGTAATGCTGCGGAAGACCCTCTTCAGCCTCCTTTCAAGAACCGTGGGAAAAAGTGGGTGGTGGTTCGGGTGAGAAAGATGAGACGGACGAAATGAAGACAGAAGAAAATGAAAGATTATCTGTGGAATACTGCTGGTCCCAGCGTTTGCCTAAGTGATCCAAGGAAACTACAAAAAAACTTGGACGAAGGCAGACGGACCCGGGATCGAACCGCATCCTTCCCAATACTAAGTAATGGTCTAAACCTCTAGGCCATGCCGCTAGGTCGGTCGTAGGGACGGCTGGGTGTCTTTTGAAGATTTTCCTTCTTCCACAAAAAAAAAGAAAACCAATACGTTCAGTTAAGCAGCGCCGGGCCAGTGTGTGATTTTGATTCATCTGCTTGTTGGTGATGAAGTGTAAAATAAAAAAACTACAGAAATGTCTAATTCGGGGGATTGCCTCCTTTTTCTCCGTATCCCATGTAATATTCATATCTACTCACAATCAGATGTATTTCCAATTTATGAAATTGGAGAACTGAATTTTAAATGCATTCCCTGAACATTTTATGACACCTCTAATTTTAATGGACCATAAACATAATAACTTATATCTCAAACAACTGATACAACTTCGAGCTTTTTCTCCTTTAACCAATAAATTCACAAAATCGTGAATTATAAATTTTTTCTTTCTCTGTTAAAGGAAAACTAAAAAACAATTTGGGAATTAAATTCTGATAAATTCCCTCCCTGAACAATAGAAAATGTATTCTATCTGTCACGTCTCATGTTGATTTAGTATTAAAGCAATAATTTATTCCTCAAATATCCAGCTGAATTTCAAATATTCGGATTATATTGAACAACTTTCTCCTTTAACGGAAAAGTTTACATTCGCATTTACAATTTAAATTACAGGTTGGCTCTGTTGCATCGCAAATCACCACGTTTACGCACTTTTTGCTCTCCTGTTGAAGGAGATTCGCGTTTTTGCGAATCAATTATTACCGCCTTCGGTAGGAAACTCAGAGGTAGGTTTAATTAATACCGTCAGCGCTGCAATAAATTAAATCGACTAGTTTTACCTTGTCGTTTGCAATTGGTTTCCTTCATCCAGCTTGTCCAACATTTCCAAGCTTCTAGATCTATGTAATTCGGTCGTTTCTCTCTCCTTGTTCGACGTTGTTATCCTTTCTGATCTCCTGCCGTGGTTGCTTCTGTTTAGTTTCTGTTCAAGTCCGGCAACTCTTTGGCCCAGACGCACCTGGGCTCGTTGTAATTCCCGTTTGTCTTTCTCCAGACGCGCTTCAAGATGCCGGAATAGGGGAGCACAATAGCATGTGTATCCCACCCCAACGGGACCCTTTCGAATATTTCCGGCGAGATCAAGGTAATATTGTTCGCCTCTTTTCAGGGGCTCGTCCGGAAGTGTGTCTAAGCGGGGCGGGGGAAACGCTTCCGGGTCGGGGTAGTAATGACAGCCGTAGGGTGACCAATGCTTTGTACGAATCAGACCTTCAGTAATATCTGTAACAGAAAATGTGAATCAAAACTATTTAGAAATTAACATTATTAATATTTGCATGCTTTGATTCATAATTTTTTTAACGTCATAATAAACCAAAAGAATGATTGCGGTACATCGTCATATCCTTCGTATGGCATCGCGTTCGGTCCTGTAAAAAATTTAGACTTCCGTATAGAACTCTCCTTTCAATAAAAACAAGAACATTATATATGTATATATCTCATCATTATCATAAGATCGTCAGTCCTAAGACTGGTTGGACACGTACCTCCACTTTTTCCTATCTTGAGCTAATCTTCGCATTTCCCTAAAACTAGAACAGCCCACATCCTTAACTATTTGCGAACAGTAATCTAATCTAGGTCTACCTCTATCCCTCCTAACTCCTGTGTCTGCTTCTAATATGTCTCTGACTAGACCTTCATACCTGAGAAGGTGTCCCACCAACCTATCTCGCCTATTTTTTATTGACTTCCATATAGTCCTATGTTCTCCTATTCCTTCCAATACCTCTTCATTTCTAACCTTTTCTACCCACGATATCCTCTTCATCCGCCTATAACACCACATTTCGAACGCTTCTTCTTTCTCTTCCGCCGCGCCCACTGTCCATGTTTCGCACCCGTACAACGCTGTGCTCCAAACATACACCTTTAACAACCTTTTTTCGAATTTCTAAATTAACCGTTCGCGAGAATAGAAGTTACTTCTTTTTATTAAAGGCGACACCACCCTGCGCTATCCTCTGCTTTATATCCCTACTACTCCTTCCATCCTGACTTATCTGACTTCCTAGGTATCTAAAATCAGCCACTTCTTCTATATGTTCTATATTCTATGTATATACCTATTGAATGTAATTTTTTTGTGAAATCAATTTAATTTGTGTAGTCCGTTTACTGATGTTGCCTTTACATTTCATCCAACTGTAGTCTTTTAGCTGACGCAATTTCAAGCTAAAATGCTTATTAATATTTTGTGTACATTGAAACTTCGTGCAGTACGGTAACAATGTAAAGAATGGCATGCAGTTGAAAACAAACAATAGCTGCTGGCATCAATAATGAGTTGAAAACGTGTTCGGATAAACGACTATAATATAGTAGAAATACATGATAGGTACTACCACAGCACATGTGTAAAAACATCGACGCCTTAGTTGAATGTTTTAATTTTTAATAGTACGCGATTTCGGGTTTTTGGCCGTGTTCATATATTAATATGTCGACAGGTACTATTCTTGCCAAGAAAATCGAGCTCGTTGTGTTTAGATTCTGTCCTGTCTGATCAAAAAAAAAAAAAAATTCACAACACAAATATTTCAACGAGTTCATTTTTTGAAGTTCACCCTGACGAGAACATATATGAATGCCCTTATAGTAGAGTGAGGGTTATTCAGGAGAAGTAGGTGAAGGGCCTCTTCACCTATCTTCTGAATAGTATCGAAATCTATTTCTATCACAAAAAGAATAATTTTTTTTATAGCAATTACTTATGTTTTAGTAGGTAAATAAGGCCTTAAAACGGCCTTAATATGCGCAACTGAAGAGCTAGGTGTGTGCCCTTAGCACGCCTGTTAGCGCAAGCGGGTTGCCATGACAGTGATGACGTCAATGACAAATATACAGACTGAGCGTAACCCACTGGTCCCCAAATAGGGAAGAGATTGTGGCGGATCTACCAGTCTACTGCACCCTGTTCGTATATTCATTTTATTCGGCACATTCCCTGGAACTCTCTACCAAATTCTAATGTTGAACCCGTTTTTTTTGTACCTCTTCTGCCTACCGTCACTGTTGTGTACTATCTATTGTTCGTTTCAAGAAGTTGGAGATATGCCCCTTCCCTTTATTAGGATGTGCCGTAGCATAATTCCAAATTCAATTTTTGTCTGCGTAGCTCATTTCTTCACCGATCATCGAGCGAAAGCTAGACAAAAGTGTACAGTACCATTTGCAAAATTATTTAAACTGCCTCGTTAAAATTTAAGAATATGCTTCATTTAAAAGCATATTCAGCCAAAAATAATAACAAGTGAATTAATTTAACGCTCTACACACCTATATAAATCTTTTGCTTTGTTTTCTATTATTAATTTATATACATTTTTGTTTTAAGAAATTGCTAAACAAGCAAAGTGAACAAGAGGAAAAGATACGTATGCACTTGGTAGTTTTTCGTAAAACGCCTCGATGCGAACTTTATTTGAAAAAGTTAATGACCGTTATAAACTGGACGATGATATAAGTGGGCACATCTGTAATCAAGGAAGTCCAGGTAGCTGCAAGACTTCGGAAAATAAACTACGTTGCGAAGAATAGTTTATTGCAACTTGCAAACACTTCGGTAATTACAGTTTTTTTTCCAAAGTCTCGGCAATCGAAGCGTATACACCGTGTTCTGAAATTGTTCTTCTGCGAGTGCCAGGAAATAGAATAATAACAAACTACTGTATTAACCAACAATAAAGACTTAACTTGTGTGACGTAGGATTCAAATCTGGAGGCTGTCTGTTACAATGCAGAGATTGAAACAAAGTGAATATTGGACAAACGAGATGATCTTTTAAGCAAAGAATCCTTGAACGCAAGAGGGTTTATAAAATTTGTTTTTCACAGGAAGATATTCGAGAAGTTACTTTTGCAAAGGGAATATCTGCACACGCGTTAAATTGATAAGGCGTGTTGTTTAATTCTGGGGTGGAAGGTAGAATAATTGAAGCGAAGTCGACTTATTAGATATATATTTACAAATATTTACAGAGTATCTCCAAAGGAATGATTAATAATTATGATTAACTATACAAGTGCAAGTCCTAGTTCAAGTGTTTCTTTTGAAAAAAATTACTTTTGGGAGGGAGGCGGGCAATCCCTCCGGATTACTCCGGAAGGTAGAGCGGAAGGCCCTATGCAGCCTCCTTTCAGGAATCGTGGGAATGGATGGGTGGTGGTTCGGGTGAGAGAGATAAGACGGACGAAATGAAGACAGAAGAGAGTGAAAGAGATTATCTGTGAAATATTACTACTCCAGCATTTACCTAAGTGATCCAAGGAAACCACAGAAAAACTTGGATCAAGGCAGACGGACCCGGAATCGAACCGGCGTCCTCCCGAATGCCAAGCAATGGTCTAAACCTCTAGGCCATGCCGCTCTTTTGAATTCCTTAGTCACTTCTTATATCTAAAACTTGAAACTAGGAGGAAAACGCCAAACGCCAAGGGTGTGGCGAATGTCACCATTGGTGATTAACCCTTTAAAACATCTTCGTGGATACTTACAAGGCGGGGCTTTCAAACTCAAAATATTGCAAGAGAGGGATGTTTATAACTTGTGAAAAATCGGTTACATAAAAAAAGAACAACAAACACCCCATAATAAAAATGAAACTGTATTAGGGATCGTAACGGATTCTCGCTGAACCGTTACTCCTATAAACTAATTTAAATATTTAATTAATGCATCTAGTCATCCTCGAAGGGTCTACTGTCAAATAAACACAACGCCACCTTGTAAATTTGCAAAACCTCCTAAAAACTGCATACAGAAACTTTATGAACTGCATTAAGAAGAACGGTATTGACTCTGAACAAACATTATTTATGATTTTCTTGAAGAAGTTATTGTATAAAGAAGCATTTGTAGTGGTTGTCAATAAACAAAAGTATTTCCAAGCCCTTTTGTCTTTTATTTATTGTATTACATTAATAACATTAAATCACAACGACAGAGTTGTAATGTGAAAGCTGGAGTCTGTTTTGTTTTGAATTTTTAATAAAATTGCGATGTCCTCAAGAACTGTAAGAAATTTTTCAATCGAAGCTTACGTTTGATAGTTTGATAGTGACCTAGAAATGAAATCTTAAAATAAAGAACAAAATTAAAATAGAATGTATATGACAAAGTTTACAAATCCTCACACGCGTCCGTTCTATTTTAAACACTCGGATCATTAGAATAGTTAATTGGATTTAGAAAAAGCCGCACGCAAACAGGTCCTATGTCCGTTCTTCCAAAAATAACAATCGAGGATGTACACACGGCATAAAATTTATGTCCGTTACTATCCTCAGCGTTTTGATTTCTTTCTTTCCATAAAATAAAATAAACTTATAAGCAGTTGGAGCGTTTCAATGTCATTGCTAACCGAAACCGTTTAGACATTCAACGTGAATTTCAATCAGGACAAATTGTCATCAATCATAACTAGGGTTGTCACCCGTACTTTTTAATAAAGTATTGTACTCTATTTCGACTGTGCGTACGTTTTACTTTACAAGACACATAAAGTACGCAAAAATACTTTATTTAAGGCCTTAAGTAAACATAGTAATTTTGTAAGCGATTATTCGAAATTCAGAGTACTTTTATATCAATAATATTACACAGAAGAATGGCAAGCCATATTTACGGAACAACCTGATTTCCTAAATCTGTTCAAAGTAGAGTCACTTTTGCTGTCCGTTCCGGCCACTTCAGCATTTACAGAAAGAGTATTCTCTGTTATGAACGCAAAGTGGCGGGACGACAGGAATAAAGCTTCATTAAAACTAATTAAAAATGAACTTTTAGTTTACTTGAATCTTTGTTTGCCATGTTTAGAGGCTATTAATGTATTTAAGAGCGACAGCAATTTGTTACTAGCTGCTAGGTGTAACAAAAAATATGTTTTTAAAAACAAAAAATTAAATACTTTATTTTTATGCCGAGTACTTTTTGACGTGACAATGTCTTATAATTCGATAGAGCCGGCTGCACGCACGAAAAAACATGACTCATGCGGCGTTACCTCGCTCTGAGGCGTTCCATTTAAGGCTTGAAGTGCAAGCGAGAGCGCGGAACGAGCAACAAAGAGGCACAATCGGCCTCCGCGTTCGGCAGCGTTCGACATCTGTCTCTCTCCTACTTGAGTGAGCGATGCGTCCGCGTGGACAGCTGCTATACAATAATACATTTCCATTTACCTCCTTCTCTATATCCATACAAAATATCTATCAAACAAAAAAAATAAAATTTTTTTTTGAAAAATGAAACCATTCTATCAGTATTTTCTTATGACGTTGTTGCGTTCGACTATCGTCAGTAAACGGACTTTACAGACAACCTATTTTTTTTAACCTTTCAGTCGAGAAGTACTTTATGTAAAGCCTGAAAAGGTGGCAACCCTAATCATAACCGACAAAATTCTGTGACATAAATTTTTCGTACCTGTTTTCTTCCCGTCAAATGTCACTTTCGTTTTAGACTTCTTCTTCCCCTTGTCCTTTTTCTTATCCTTACTTTTGGGAACATATTCGTCCAGAATATTCAAAATTTCATTGAGATCCTTTCTGAGCGCGATATCTCTTGCAGTTTCGTTTTGTTTATTCCTGATGTTTTTGTCGCAGTTGGCTTCGAGCAATATCCGGGTAAGCTTCCGCCTCCCCATGGCTGCCGCAATATGAAGGGCTGTATCACCATTTTTATTTTGCTCGGATACACGACACTTGGCTGATATTAATATCCTTGTTACACCCGCATGTCCGTATCTGGCCGCCGTGTGTAAAGCCGTATCGCCGTAATTGTTTTGTAGATCGGGGTTGCAATCTATAACAAGTATTTGACATTAAGAAACCTGGAACTACTGAAATATAACGAATAAGGTTTCATTTTGAACAATGGAATTGAACACGAAAGTTCAAAACCGTTCAAAATGTTTGGCCAAATATCAAGGGTTAAAAATTGAATTTGAGGTTAGGAGTTACCGATTTGCAAGAAAAATAATATCTCGTTTTGAACCAACGCCTTTGAAAATGAAAGCTCCAAGTTCTACAAAAGTTTTGGGCATCGACCACTCGACATTTTGAAATTTAAAAGAACAGTAGGTTCTCATTTTCAATTGCATTTCTGAAAAAGGCAATTTCAATATGCCCACGAAAGACCAATTTAAAAAGTTTGGATTAGAGAGTTACTTATTTACAAGAAACATAAGATGTCGTCTAAGGCTTTTGGTCGAAAACCACATCCCAAAATTTTGAAGTAGAATTTACAGTTAATAATTTTCAAGGTAAGCAAAGGTTTCAAGTCAAAATATTGTAGTTCAGATTCCACACCCAGACTCTTCTGATATAATTTATATCTGTAGTTACATACTTGCAAGAAGTAATTCTCTGCAGGATTGATTGTGTCCATTTTGGCAACAAAGATGTAAAGCCGTAAATCCTCCGGCATTAGTCCTGGACAAATCTGCTCCTGCAGAGGCCAACAGTGCTACCGTTTTGCTGTAGCCTTTCCACGCCGCCTCGTGCAGTGGGCAGTTTCCATGCTAAATGAAACGGAAAAATGTAGTATGTATAACCGAGTATCCATTGCAGGTAAACAAATCGTACAATTAAAAAAAGCCTCTCGGGTAGTAAACAGTGAGGTGCCTATTAGGCGCCTCGATTAACATTTTCTAAGAAACTCGATCTGGGGTGATCGTTCAGCTATAATGAAGTCATAAACTTTTTCAATTTATGATCACATTAGAATCTCTTTCTGCCATTTACAAATAAAGGACAGCATCTTCGTCTGCCGAGAATGTAGAATGTATGTTATAAATTAACGTTAGTAGTGTAGCTAGCGGGATGCTGTGATAATAACTTCTTAGAGGTCATTCTTCAGTAGAAACGTCGAAACGTCGCGTCCTGAAGAAGACTTCTTGTTTTCACAAGGGGCACAGCTAAGTTAAATTTGGCACCAAGTAAGGTAATTTTTCACCTGAAGATCGTACCTTATCCTGGTTCTCCGGTCAAATAGGCTCCGTCGTTTTTAACAACAATTCCATTTTCCTCTGCAGGGCGCAACGTTTTAATCTTTCTACTGCAGAATAACTTTTAAGAAATCATTAGCGGTCATGGAAAGGGTCTGAGGATGAACATCCAATAGAATAGTTATAGTATCCCGCTAGCTTCATTATTTTTATTGGCTTTTTAAAATACAAAATTTCAACTTTGATGTTAAAATAGGCTTATTTGCCCAGTTTTTTAAAGACAACAAAAAATGAAGAACTAGTATCTTTGGCACAATGAAGTAACAAAATAAGTGGATATTTGTTTAAGGATGTATGCGCCTATAAGCTGAAGATTTCGTGCCGATATCCAATTGTATTACATTTATAGTTTGAAGAGCGGCAAATTTTTTGATATCATTCGAAGGTAAAGCTAGTTTAGAATCTCATGGACCTTCCTAACCGCGAGATGCGGGTCTAAATCACTAAAACTTAACCATGCTGTTGACTATGTGCCTCGCCCTATAATCTGGGAAGAAATTTTGCAGCCCAAGATCAAAGTTCTGAAGTACAAAGCTGGAGAAACTGATAATAATCCATAAAGAGCACGTGTCAAACTTTTCTGAACAACATTAGTAGTTAACTTTGCCCATCTTATTTATTTATTTATAGGTAAGTTCATGAGCTCAAAGTGTACAAGAGCACTTACAATTGCATCTTGTTTGTCAATGTCTGCGCCCCTAGACAACAGAAGTCTGACAACCTCTTCATGTCCATCGGCGGCGGCTCTTTGCAGCGGCGTACAGCCGGCGCCGTCCGGGGAGTCGACCTCCTTGGGAGCAGCGACGTTCAGGAGCAATCTTACGACGGCGGTGTGTCCCGCGCTAGCTGCCAAATGTAGCGCCGACCGACCCTGCTCGTCGTGGGAGAAACGAACGCACCTGGCTGACCCCAGCAGCCGTCCTACCTGTAACGCGTCCCCGGCTGCCGCCGCCGCACGCAGAGCCGCGCCGCCACTGGCGCCGGGACCGCTCATGCGCCTCTACCCACTTCCAGCGTACCCATCGAGGGGATGACTCCCTCAGGGTCAGTCTATCCGTTTATTTTGATACAATTGTAAAATGATCCAAGAACACTGGATGAAATATTCAAACCTGGAACAAATAAAAGATGACCGTATTAAAACCAAAGTAATTTCGACTCACTTGTTTGTATAGTTAGTCAAAAGGGATTACAAATGCTAATGCATTAAGGGATTTAAATGGCACTAAAAGCTAACAAAAATAAAACCAACAGACGTTCAACTGCACCAGATCAATTTATATTAGTAAAAGATTAGCCAAAAGCTCCTAAACTTATTTCCACTTCATGATGAAAGGACACGGGAAAAACATTCAGTCCATTGCGGGGATGGATATATGTTTCCGTTACTCGTATTCTACCGTGTAATTTCATTGTCAATTAATTTATTTGGATAACCCTGTTGAATGCTTTCTTTCGTAATTAAGTATTAACGTAAGAAGTGATGCCATCGGAATCGTGGGTCACGTTCAACTATGTATGGATTGCAAAACGATTACATAAAAGGCGAGTATTCTTGGAAATGGGTTCATTAATTGTTAAATATAGCAGTCAGTGGATTGCTCAAACAGAAACGCTGCTATGTCAACAGTAGACTTTGTTTTATTTGGCATTAACTTTTTCGTCACATACCATCTAAATTAATATCTACCTCTACCAAAGCGTATTCCTTAGTTAGAGCTATATATGATGTTCTTTTCGATTTGTTAACATGCCTATATATATTTTTGTTGCAACTTAAAGCTCTAGTAAAAAAATCCTAATTTTTTGAAGAAAAAAAAAATAATACAGTTTCTTTCTATATTGAGTCATACATTGGAAATTCAGAGATTCAAAGCAACATTGACTGTCGAGAGAATAGAATTACTTTTAGAATTTATACATAGGTAGCAATTATTCATCTATTAGGTACCTGTATTACAAAGTACGTAATAATTTTCTACGTTCTGCGTAGGTATAGGTAGGTAGCGATAATATAATTTGTGCTTCCATCTCCTATCAGTATCCACCTATTTGGATCTAACCGTGTCTATGGATCCAACTGACTATTAAAACGTCTCAAAAATGTGTTGGACGTGTTTAAATGTCAATATTCGGCCAAGGCTATAGATGGAATGTAGTCGTTGGTATAAGATATGGAAAAGCGCCTTCTTTGAAATCATGAAGTATATTGTTCTTCTCCTTTTCCTTTAAATGTTCTATGAGAAAAGAGAACGATAAAATATCGTCCTCTCAGATTCACAAAGGCACTCTGTATTTTTTTATTTAATGAAATTGAATACAGTTTTTTATCATATATTGAATGAATTTTCACAAAAAATTTTGTAATTTATTAAACGTCGACGTTAAAAAACAAAGAAGTGCTTCCTCTCTGTATAGTCAATAATAATACAAAATAATATTCCCCTTTTATTCCGCGAAAAAACAAATAGAATAATGTGCTCAATAGATAGGTGTGGAAAGTAGTAATTTATTCATAGGGGAGAGAGGAATTACCGGAAATCCTGCTGTAACGCTCTGGGCCCGTGCATATCAATTTGATAAGCAGGTACGAATTTGTACGTTATATGCATTCAAACGAAATCATAATATTTCAAAAACTTTACTTATTAGATATCGTACTTACTTAACAAGAAGGCAATTAATTGTTATTATAATTAGATACAAATTGAAAGCTGTTATCATTAACAATCAAATATAAAACAAAATTGTCTAGAATCAAAACAGGGGAAGGTTTATTTTTTTTGTAAAAAAAGACACCGATATAATAAATTCGTAATAAAGACAAGGTTTTCTCAAACTCAAACACTTTAATTGATTGAAAATATGTCCTCAATGAATATTTATTTGTAATTGTGTATCTACAGATATCTATACATACATGTCTGTAGAACCCTTTGGTTTTACATGAACTGCCATTGAACACATACAAATACCCTTCCTTACGTTGTTTGTTAAAATAACAATGCTACGAATGGAATACAATGAAATGACGATTGCTTTGTCATATCGTTTGTCTTTAGAGTCTACTAAGAATTAATTAAAGTAGATCCCACGGCTGCCTTTAATTAGTTATTCGCATTTTCTTATGTCTTCTCACATCTCCTCATTATAACTGCGAGAAATTATAAGGCTGCCCTATAATAATATGCGTCCTTCCATTCAAAAGCAATAGTTATTTTCAACTGAAGCTACCCTTACAACTTCTTCCCCTGAAAACCTAATAATATGTTTCGATTGTATTATCACCTGTTAAGCATACTCTAATTAATTAATGCTAAGCTCTATCGGCATTGCTACCTGCGTCAGACACAGTGGACAAGAAAACAATTGTTAGTTATTAATAACAAACAAGAATTTTATGCAAATTAACAAAAACGAATAGCGCGGAATATAAAGAAAACAACGGAATGGATATAGTTGGGTCGATCAAAATTGGCAAATTCGAATTAAATTATCTCTAAGAATGGTCTTCTTTCTTGTTTCCACTTGGGACTGTAATCATTTGTTGCGTTCTCAACAACCCCATTGTTAAGTAAGGGAATGCTCTATGAGGAGCACAGACAAAGTGAAAAGAGATAAGCGAATTATAGTAAACGGTGCAGCGGTTAGAGGTCGCTCAGGCAGGCAAAAGATCAGGGCCGGCTTTATAACTGCCTGGATGGAATTACATCGAGCGTCTTGCTTTCCTAAATACCAGAGGATGTTGAACTTTCTTTAAAGTCCAATGCTGACAACAATACTGTTTGTCTGCATCTGTTTCTGTTACACATCAAGTGGTGACATCTCTTTTCTATATCCACAATACTCCGTCTAACGTCTGTCGTTAGTAGAAGTAGGCGTTCTATCAGCAACCGCTGTAGTCTAGATAATAAGTTGAAAGAAGAAAGTAAATGCGACAGTTTCATTGCAGACTATGCCAATTTTGAATGTCCTAACTATATTAACAATGTCCTTTCTATAGATATACAATGTATTTATCTGTAGGATTTTGTGGTGTAACGTTGATGCGCTACACAATTTATAGATTGATGCACCGATCGCCGGAAAAGACAGGGAACAGAAGGCTCTACGAGATTGAATAAAAGGACACATGCTGATAAATGAAGGGCCACTTGACTAGAGACATATTAGACAATTGGTTAATATTTAAGAAAGCGTGTGCTAGGATTATCCGTCAAAATACAGTCGAACCTGGATAAGTGAGAACTGGGTAACTCTATTAATGAGAGTATTTGCCAGGTCCCGTCATTTTGCCCTTCTAAAGCTTCTATAAGTGAGAAACATAAAACCTGTATAGGTGAGAGTCATTTTCCATGCCTGAACCTCTTTAAGTGAGATTGCTACTTGTCTATACCTCTATAAGCGATAGTTTACTTTTGCTATTTTATGACTCGTTCTTAAATTTCAAGAGACTCTTATTTCATTCGAATGACCAAATCTGCGAATGACCGAGTAAGTCTTTATTATTTTATTATAGTCAAATGTGCGTACCGACTTGTTTATCAATCTTATTACAGTCAGTTCATAAAAGCAGTTGCGAAGAAAGGTCCTGTACTTCCTCATAATGTCTGAATGAAAACTCAATGTGTTGAACCGTATTTTTATAGACCTCTATAAGTGAGACAAATTCCTCCTGTAACTCTATAAGCCAGAAACTCGGGTTAGTGAGAAACCTCAGTAAGAGAGAAAGAGTTCGCGGTCCTTTGAACTCTCACTTATCCAGGTTCGACTGTAATAGAAATGTTGAATGTTCTAGTTTTCGAGAAGTGTGAATATTTACTAAGAATAACGAGTGGAGGTGTGTGACCAATTAGTCTTCGAGCTGACGATCTTGTGAAACTTGACAAAGGTTCAAAATCCAGGGTGCGTCTTTTAGAATGTGGACAAAAGGGGAGATTCTTTAATCTAAGGATTCATGAACATATCAAAAGAAAGCATCTTAATACCCTCTTCATATTTTAGCAAAAGAACTAACAAATCCACCATTTATATAGTAAGAAAAGGCGCAAAGAAAATATCACAAAAACATCGAAAATTTCGAGAACAAACCCCAATGGAATAGATTGTGTATTCTATGTACACGTGTTTAAAGGAAGTAAATGTAGAGTTAATTTGCGTATTAAAAACTTTCGCATATGCACGTGTGTGTAAAAATAACGCGTAAAGTGGAAACAAGCGCAAACATGTAAGCAACTTGTTTCATAACTATTACAAAATACGACTTTTAAAACGTAATGTTTTCGAAACCAGCAAACGGACAAGTTAATTGAGTGTTCGATGTTTATTTATGTGCATTTGTAATTCGCTGCGGCGCCCGTTTGTTATAATGTATTATGCCATTGAAGGTTTATTTATGTTCTACAGACATTTAGGAACAAGAGCTGATTTTTACATTATCAGCAAAAAAAAGATGCTATAGAATAAATTAAAGTCGATAATTTCCTCTAGTTCGGCTTTTCAATATTGTACGCCATAAATTTTACGTTTAACGTTTCAATGTTGCTCCGGTCAACACTTTTCTGATATTTATCCTTATATATTTGACGGACCTGATTTTATAGCTTCTTTATCGTTTATTACAAATAGAAATTTTACAATGTTTAACGTTCTCAATAACCTCTACTCGTAATTTGATGATATTTTTCGATTGAAAGAAATATTAATGTAGTATTTCAAACAACAATACTTTATTGAAACTACCAGATGTGAATCGCATCTTTAAACTTATTAATTCTCATGAAAGCGTCGTACTGATAAGATAATCACCATGATGATCATCACCAAGTTGCTCTGTGATAGAAAATGGTTAATATCAAGTAAACATATATCACCCCCTGCATCAGCGTTTTGACAAGGCCTTACAAATTACATAAACATTAAACATAAATACCTACAGAGGGCGCCATAGTGCCACTTACTTGATATTGGTCATCTTACTTACATGAAGTAACTTCCACGATGTTTCTGCTGATAGGAACCACTAAACATAAGTTCGAAATCATGATATAAACGTGGTAGTTTAGTTCTTTTAATTGATGACCAGTGTGCCTTAATTGCTTGGAAATAGATT